CAGCCATACGTACCTTTAGCGCAATGTAAATCGTAAATCCCAATCTATTATACCGTTTTTTTAATTAATTATATAATAAATATTACTAAAATAAAAATTTAATACCTATTTATATGTCTTTTAAATCAAATATATTTTATCTTCATATATCTTATATTTTAATTTAATTTTAATGAAGGATAATTGTATCGGAGTAGGAAAAAATGTTTTTAATTATATCAATATTATTATTATTATTAATCTTTATCTTCTTCATCCTCGTCTTCTTCAGGTTGGCTAGCAATTTCAGACTCGTTTTCATCATCACTCTCCTCGTTATCATTAACATTAATTGTCATATCTTCAAAAACTTACTTATAACGCGTTTGTAATTTGCAGATTTTTTTGCCTTTGTTGCCTCATCTGCGACTTCACCATAAAATAAGCACAATATTTTAAAATTAAACACATCATTCCCTTTTTTACGAGGTAAAGTTGATGACGTTGAAGGTCCAGTCTCTTCAAGGCGATGTTTTGCTGCTGCAATTTTACTATAGTACGCTATAGCGTACAATTTTTGACACTCAATATGAAGTATTTAGGTAGTTTATGTTTATTTCTCTCAATAATTGCTTCTTTTAAAGTCTTTATACCGCGCACAGAAGTCACAGAATCACCTTCAGAAAGTAACCTATTACAAATAAAATACAAATCAGCCCTGTTAACCTTTAAAATATTACGAATATTACCTGTCACAACCCTAGACCTATACCTAGAGTCACAACTTGCTTTAAATATAGGTATACCTAACCTTTTTATTAATAGCAAGCCCACTATAGTATTTCCAGGTCTGTAATTTTAAAAGCAATATCTGGATCCAAGAGATGACCAGAGACATATGTGGATAATATCCACTGGATATATATCCAAGGCAAATTCATTTAATGTCTTTTCTTCTTAAAATGCATTTATCATTTATTAGAATAACATTAGAATATATTTAGAATGATTAACTTTATTATTTAATTATTTGTATGTCAAAAGTAAGTAATATTTATTGACTAGGTATTTGTTTTAAAAAAATATATAAAAATAAATATAAGGTATTAAATTGTTATTTAAGTAATATTTAATAAATAATTAATTAAAAAAACGGTATAATAGATTGGGATTCATGATTTACCTTGTGCTAAAGGTACGTATGGCTGAGCGCTCCACACTCTGCGCCCTCTATCTCAAAAACGATAAGACGTATAAAAAAATGTTTTAAACAAAATTTGTAGAGAATTTGATTCTCTACAACTTGTATAATAAATGCAAATACGATAGGAGGCAGAGAAAAGGAGATATTCTCAAAAAAATTGATTTTTGCGACCTTTGACCTTGAATATCTAAGGCCGCTCACACGTTGGCATATGTGACTTTTGAGACAACATTTGCAATGCTAAAATAAAGGTTTGTACAAAAATTCGGCTTATTCCGTTAGATTCCGAGGTGAAATGCCTAGATGACTGGACTAAATAACAATGGATGGTTTAAGAATTTAAGAATATAAATACTGCATTTAATGAAATTGTAAAGTGTATGGTGCCAAATAAGTAATATTTTTGTGCATTTGGTCCAAATATCTAGTTTTCTCCATAAAATAATTTTAACTAAACAGCATTTATTTAAAAAAATCTAGCTTTTCTATTATGAAATAAGAATATCTGTTTTAAAGGTAGGTTAATATATTATAACAAAAATATCATCTAATTTTGTAATTTTAAGGTTAGAAAAATTTATTTTGACCAAAATAAATAAGTATTTTGGATTATTTAAAATACTATATAATATGGTATTTAAAAATGTTGTAGTTTTTCTTATCCAGCTTAAAGTGTACCTACATAAAGTTTTGTCAATACAAATAGTTAAAAAGCTGCGACTGAATTTGATCTACATCAAAAAATCATTATAACTTTAAAATTTTTAATAAATCACATGTCATGGGAGTATTAAATATTTTCACATTGCAAGTTTCTCTAAAAATTGTTTGTATTCTTATATTCTAACTTAAAGTAAGTATGCCGAGAGGTATGCACAAGTTTTGTCGTTAGAAGTATAAAAGCTTCAATTTAATTTGAACTATATTCAACAATTATTTAGTATACCTATATTTATTTATGACCATATTAACACACTCTTTCAAATAATCCACTTATTTATTTTGGTCAAAATAGATTTTTCTAACCTTAAAATACAAAATTAGATGATATTTTTTGTTCTAATACATAAACCTACCGTTGATACAGATATTCTTATTTCATAATAGAGAAGTAAGATTTTTTTTAATAAATGTTGTTTAGTTAAAACTATTTTATGGAGAAATGTAGACCCAATGCATAAAAATATCACTTATATTGCACCTTACACTTTGGAATTTCATTAAATGCAGTATTTATATTCCTAAATTATTAAACCAACCATTGTTATTGTGATACTATAAAGATTTATTAATTTTTAACGCTTAAACATAAGCGGTAACACTATATTAATATTATTTCTTTCATTGACTATACTTTGACAGATACATAACCTGAAAAGCCTTAAAATAAAAAAATATTTAAAATGGTGTAAAACCTGTAATACTTGGATTTTTTAAATAAAAATTTTAAATTTGTCGATAAATTATAGTAGATAATAAATTGCAACACTTTAATTTAAATTATCTCAAATAGGGGAGCCTGGAGGCAGGTGAGGCGACAGGAAAAACTAACTTTTTTCGCAAACTTCAATTTAAAGGACTAACTGAGCTTATATACTCTTCATGTAAGTCAACAGAGGCGAGATTTAAGAACATCACGTGTTCCACACCGCCTTTGCCGCGATCGGTACACACTATGCAACAAGGAATGCACGGCAAATTGTTTTAATCGTTTTAACAGAGTGCTTTAGGTTGAAGTAACTCTTATTTTACAAACAACATATTTAGTAAAGTGAACCATACAGCGGATTGGTTTCACTAAAGTTTTCTGGGTTAATTTAACCAATTTAAAAAAAATAAAATAACTATCTGGTTTAGTACCGTCAGACTAATCTTTGTTTATATTAACCTTCCACAGTTGATACAAATAAAAAAAATACAAAAATAAATACTTATGGGTCAACTAAATTAATATAGTTAAATGAACTATTCCTTTTTATCTGTGTAGGTGCACTTCTCAAATATTTTTAGATAAACACCGTTTTGGTGTTTGCTGTATATAACATTTTCAACCATAATTCATGGTGTTATATTAACACCACTTGGTGTTGGATTTTGACACCATTTTAGGATTACTCTTTACACCACAGATATTTTAAAGAGTGCAGGGTTTAAGAATTTACAATGTTGTGCACTTACGTCTATTGCAAAACCGGAATCCATGGCATCGTGAACTCGTTGCTCGTAATCATTTATAAGAGTGTAGCCATAACCTTGCTTTCCTTTCCAGGTCCAGGTCTGCCCGTAGTTGTAAAAATATTCTTCCAACCTTGCGAATTTAGGTCTAGATGGGAACTCCAAACCGTTTTGATATCTCAGTGAAGGTTCGTAGGGGGTTTCGAATGGAACTTGCCAGTTGATGTTTTTAATTTCACCGAAATCGTTTGAGAGCCTTTCCAGGTAGAATCTGGCCACAATTTTTTGATAGAAGTAGAAATAAAACTCACCACGTCTATCGTTTTGGATGCTGTAAGGTTCAGATGGCATCCAGTAGGGGTGATAGAGGTTGTAATAGTAGTAATATTGATTGAGGCCTATATCTTCCAAGAAGTATGACATGGATTGTTCTGGGTGTAAATTTAAATACTCTCCTGAGTAGTTGGCTTTAACGGTATGTGTTACGCCACCATCCCACACTTGCTTGTATTTTTGAGCCTCATTGATAACCCCAACATCGAAAAAGTAGAACGGGTATATCTCGTAGATAGGCGGTATGATAATCCCATAGGTATCCGGTCTGTGGACTATAGCTACAGAGATAGTGTACAGAAATAGGCCTTCGTTGATATTTTGACGGCACCATACTGCGAAATTGTGGAACGTCGTGAAATCGCTGGCGTGATAGAACATCTTAAAAAGCATTTTGACCTGCTGGAGGTGGTCATAATTGAACACAGAAAAAATGTCTCCCTTGGGCAAAAGATCATTGTACTCATAATGCTCCCAGAATTGGTCAAAGACTTTCGAAGGCTAAAATAGATTTCTTTTTATAAATAATATAAGTACTTTATAATATTGAACTCACACCAAATGAAAGTTTATTGGGTTTTGGGGACCAAAACAGAAGTATTAATGTATGTTCTACATAATACGTCGGCTGGTTTATGTACTTAAACAATAACAACACTTTTTTTTGTTTTTTCAAAAAAGTTTTGTCAGCTAAAACCATCGAAATGTATTTTTGGCCACGAATAGTATAAGATACTTACCAACTATATACTCCCCAAGTTTTTGAGTAACCGCAAATGCAAAAATGCTTAGCAATAATATCACCAGGAAATACTTCATGTTTGCAGACTCGCAAACCAAATATAAATACTTGTTAAAAAATTGACATGTTCATTTTTTTTGTTAACGTGTCTGATAATAAAAATTATTACACCAAATGATGCATTTTGCTTGTTATTTGTTTTTTATTATATTATATTGATTACAATTTTATGACTAGGTATATTACGAATGAAAAATAAAATTTATTATGAAAAAATACATGATATTGCTCCTATTTATACTATATATATATAATATAATATATCCTTAATTTTATTGTATTAACAAGTTATTGAAAAATGCATTATAATGTATTTTTTTATAAATTGTTCCCTATACCACTGCAATAAGATAAGATAAAATTATTTTATCTTGATAAGCATAGGTACATTTGTTATAATAGTATGGCATAGTTCTGTACAAACTTTAATAGTTTTAACAAACACAGAAGGTAAATAATCATTTTGCAAAAACACGTATAAAAAATTATACATTTCAGGTAGAAATCATGAAACATGAACAGTGGTTGGAAATATTAACTTCGATAAATGATGACTGTGGTTTGAATGAAAATAATGTAATTGAAAAAATAATAGAGAAGTTCGAAGCATTAGATCCAGGCATATATGAAGAGTGGAAAAATAACAGTTTTGATGTAAACCATGTATTTAAATCTGACCTCGGCTATGGTGATAATTATCAAACCCTGTTAAGTTTAGTTGCTAGTAACGGCTATATAAACATAGTAAAAGTTCTAACAAATAAAGGAGCAAATGCTAATGAACCAAATAAGTATGGAAGTACTCCTTTACTTTTTGCTGCTAAAAATGGTTATATAGAAATAGTGAAAGTTCTAATGGACAAAGGGGCTAATGCCAATATAGTAAATTATAAGGGTTTTTCTCCTTTGAACTGTGCTGTTCGCAAAGGTCGTTTAGATATAGTTAGATATCTGATAGATGAAAAAAATGTTAATTTTACGGTTGTTGACAACAATAGCAGGACTCTTTTACACCATGCTGCTGGTAAAGGCTACTTAGATATAGCAAAATATCTAGTGGATGAGAAAAATGCCGATTTTACAGTTGTTGACACAAATGGCTTGACTCCTTTGCACTATGCTGCTGGTAAAGGCTGTTTAGATATAGTAAGATATTTGGTAGATGAAAAAAAATCTGATTTAACAGTTGCTAGTAAGAATGGTTGGACTCCTTTATATTATGCTGTGATGTGTGGCAAACTAGAAATAGTAAAATACCTTCTAGATGAGAAAAATGTTAACCTTGTGGTTGTTGACAACAAAAGCAGGACTCCCTTACACCATGCTGCTGATGGAGGTTACTTAGATATAGCAAAATATCTAGTGGATGAGAAAAAAGCCGATTTTACAGTTGTTGACAGAAATGGCTTAACTCCTTTGCACTATGCTGCTCGTAAAGGCTGTTTAGATATAGTAAGATATTTGGTAGATGAAAAAAAAGCTGATTTAACAGTTGCTAGTAAGAATGGTTGGACTCCTTTATATTGTGCTGTGATATGTGGCAAACTAGAAATAGTAAAATACCTTCAAGATGAGAAAAATGTTAACCTTGCGGTTGTTGACAACAAAAGCAGGACTCCCTTACACCATGCTGCTGATGGAGGTTACTTAGATATAGCAAAATATCTGGTGGATGAGAAAAAAGCCGATTTTACAGTTGTTGACACAAATGGCTGGACTCCTTTGCACTTTGCTGCTCGTAAAGGCTGTTTAGATGTAGTAAAATATTTGGTAGATGAAAAAAAAGCTGATTTAGCAGTTGCTAGTAAGAATGGTTGGACTCCTTTATATTATGCTGTGATGTGTGGCAAACTAGAAATAGTAAAATACCTTCTAGATGAGAAAAATGTTAACCTTGTGGTTGTTGACAACAAAAGCAGGACTCCCTTACACCATGCTGCTGATGGAGGTTACTTAGATATAGCAAAATATCTAGTGGATGAGAAAAAAGCCGATTTTACAGTTGTTGACAGAAATGGCTTAACTCCTTTGCACTATGCTGCTCGTAAAGGCTGTTTAGATATAGTAAGATATTTGGTAGATGAAAAAAAAGCTGATTTAACAGTTGCTAGTAAGAATGGTTGGACTCCTTTATATTGTGCTGTGATATGGGGCAAACTAGAAATAGTAAAATACCTTCAAGATGAGAAAAATGTTAACCTTGCGGTTGTTGACAACAAAAGCAGGACTCCCTTACACCATGCTGCTGATGGAGGTTACTTAGATATAGCAAAATATCTGGTGGATGAGAAAAAAGCCGATTTTACAGTTGTTGACACAAATGGCTGGACTCCTTTGCACTTTGCTGCTCGTAAAGGCTGTTTAGATGTAGTAAAATATTTGGTAGATGAAAAAAAAGCTGATTTAGCAGTTGCTAGTAAGAATGGTTGGACTCCTTTATATTGTGCTGTTGTATCTGGCAAACTAGAAATAGTAAAATACCTTCTAGATGAGAAAAATGTTAACCTTACGGTTGTTGACAACGATAGCATAACTCTTTTACACCATGCTGCTGATGGAGGTTACTTAGATATAGCAAAATATCTAGTGGATGAGAAAAAAGCCGATTTTACAATTGTTGACACAAATGGCTGGACTCCTTTGCACTATGCTGCTCGTAAAGGCTGTTTAGATATAGTAAGATATTTGGTAGATGAAAAAAAAGCTGATTTAGCAGTTGCTAGTAAGAATGGTTGGACTCCTTTATATTGTGCTGTTGTATCTGGCAAACTAGAAATAGTAAAATACCTTCTAGATGAGAAAAATGTTAACCTTACGGTTGTTGACAACGATAGCATAACTCTTTTACACCATGCTGCTGATGGAGGTTACTTAGATATAGCAAAATATCTAGTGGATGAGAAAAAAGCCGATTTTACAGTTGTTGACAGAAATGGCTTAACTCCTTTGCACTATGCTGCTCGTAAAGGCTGTTTAGATATAGTAAGATATTTGGTAGATGAAAAAAAAGCTGATTTAGCAGTTGCTAGTAAGAATGGTTGGACTCCTTTATATTGTGCTGTTGTATCTGGCAAACTAGAAATAGTAAAATACCTTCTAGATGAGAAAAATGTTAACCTTACGGTTGTTGACAACGATAGCATAACTCTTTTACACCATGCTGCTGATGGAGGTTACTTAGATATAGCAAAATATCTAGTGGATGAGAAAAAAGCCGATTTTACAGTTGTTGACAGAAATGGCTTAACTCCTTTGCACTATGCTGCTCGTAAAGGCTGTTTAGATATAGTAAGATATTTGGTAGATGAAAAAAAAGCTGATTTAGCAGTTGCTAGTAAGAATGGTTGGACTCCTTTATATTGTGCTGTTGTATCTGGCAAACTAGAAATAGTAAAATACCTTCTAGATGAGAAAAATGTTAACCTTACGGTTGTTGACAACGATAGCATAACTCTTTTACACCATGCTGCTGATGGAGGTTACTTAGATATAGCAAAATATCTAGTGGATGAGAAAAAAGCCGATTTTACAGTTGTTGACAGAAATGGCTTAACTCCTTTGCACTATGCTGCTCGTAAAGGCTGTTTAGATATAGTAAGATATTTGGTAGATGAAAAAAAAGCTGATTTAGCAGTTGCTAGTAAGAATGGTTGGACTCCTTTATATTATGCTGTGATGTGTGGCAAACTAGAAATAGTAAAATACCTTCTAGATGAGAAAAATGTTAACCTTGTGGTTGTTGACAACAAAAGCAGGACTCCCTTACACCATGCTGCTGATGGAGGTTACTTAGATATAGCAAAATATCTAGTGGATGAGAAAAAAGCCGATTTTACAGTTGTTGACAGAAATGGCTTAACTCCTTTGCACTATGCTGCTCGTAAAGGCTGTTTAGATATAGTAAGATATTTGGTAGATGAAAAAAAAGCTGATTTAACAGTTGCTAGTAAGAATGGTTGGACTCCTTTATATTGTGCTGTGATATGGGGCAAACTAGAAATAGTAAAATATCTTCAAGATGAGAAAAATGTTAACCTTGCGGTTGTTGACAACAAAAGCAGGACTCCCTTACACCATGCTGCTGATGGAGGTTACTTAGATATAGCAAAATATCTGGTGGATGAGAAAAAAGCCGATTTTACAGTTGTTGACACAAATGGCTGGACTCCTTTGCACTTTGCTGCTCGTAAAGGCTGTTTAGATGTAGTAAAATATTTGGTAGATGAAAAAAAAGCTGATTTAGCAGTTGCTAGTAAGAATGGTTGGACTCCTTTATATTGTGCTGTTGTATCTGGCAAACTAGAAATAGTAAAATACCTTCTAGATGAGAAAAATGTTAACCTTACGGTTGTTGACAACGATAGCATAACTCTTTTACACCATGCTGCTGATGGAGGTTACTTAGATATAGCAAAATATCTAGTGGATGAGAAAAAAGCCGATTTTACAATTGTTGACACAAATGGCTGGACTCCTTTGCACTATGCTGCTCGTAAAGGCTGTTTAGATATAGTAAGATATTTGGTAGATGAAAAAAAAGCTGATTTAACAGTTGCTAGTAAGAATGGTTGGACTCCTTTATATTATGCTGTGATATGTGGAAAACTAGAAATAGTAAAATACCTTCTAGATGAGAAAAATGGTAATTTTACGGTTGTTGACGACAACAGTTTGACTATTTTACACTATGCTGCTTATAGAGACTACTTAGATATAGCAAAATATCTAGTGGATGAGAAAAAAGCCGATTTTACAGTTGTTGACAAAAATGGCTTGACTCCTTTGCACTATGCTGCTCGTGAAGGCTGTTTAGATATAGTAAGATATTTGGTAGATGAAAAAAAAGATGATTTAACAGTTGCTAGTAAAAATGGTTGGACTTCTTTTTATTATGCTGTGATATGTGGCAAACTTGAAATAGTAAAATACCTTCTAGACGAGAAAAATTTTAACCTTACGGTTGTTGACAACGATAGCATGACTCTTTTACACCATGCTGCTAATGGAGGTTACTTAGATATAGCAAAATATCTAGTGGATGAGAAAAATGCCGATTTTACAGTTGTTGACACAAATGGCTTGACTCCTTTGCACTATGCTGCTCGTAAAGGATGTTTAGATATAGTAAGATACTTGGTAGATGAAAAAAAAGCTGATTTAACAGTTGCTAGTGAAAATGGTTGGACTCCTTTATATTATGCTGTGATATGTGGCAAACTAGAAATAGTAAAATATCTTTTGGATGAAAAAAATGTTAATCTTATGGTTGTTGACAACGATAGCATGACTCTTTTACACCATGCTGCTGATGAAGGTTACTTAGATATAGCAAAATATCTAGTGAATGAAAAAAAAGCCCATGTTGAAGTTTTTGACAAAAATGGCTTAACTCCTTTGCACTATGCTGCTGGTGAAGGCTGTTTAAATATAGTAAGATATTTGGTAGATGAAAAAAAAGCTGATTTAGCAGTTTCTAGTAAAAATGGTTGGACTCCTTTATATTATGCTGTGATATGTGGCAAACTAGAGATAGTTAAATACTTTCTAGATGAGAAAAATGATAATCTTACGGTTGTTGACAACGATAGCATGACTCTTTTACACCATGCTGCTAATGAAGGTTACTTAGATATAGCAAAATATCTAGTGGATGAGAAAAAAGCCGATTTAACAGTTGTTGACAAAAATGGCTTAACTCCTTTGCACTATGCTGCTCGTGAAGGCTGTTTAGATATAGTAAGATATTTGGTAGATGAAAAAAAAGCTGATTTAACAGTTGCTAGTAAGAATGGTTGGACTCCTTTATATAATGCTGTAATATGGGGCAAACTAGAAATAGTAAAATACCTTCTAGATGAGAAAAATGTTAATTTTACGGTTGTTGACAACAACACTTTGACTATTTTACACTATGCTGCTTTTAGAGACTACTTAGATATAGCAAAATATCTAGTGGATGAGAAAAAAGCCGATTTTACAATTGTTGACAAAAATGGCTTGACTCCTTTGCACTATGCTGCTCGTGAAGGCTGTTTAGATATAGTAAGATATTTGGTAGATGAAAAAAAAACTGATTTAACAGTTGCTAGTAAAAATGGTTGGAATCTTTTATATTATGCTGTGATATGTGACAAACTAGAAATAGTAAAATATCTTTTAGATGAAAAAAATGTTAATCTTATGGTTGTTGACAACGATAGCATGACTCTTTTACACCATGCTGCTAATGAAGGTTACTTAGATATAGCAAAATATCTAGTGGGTGAAAAAAAAGCCGATGTTGAAGTTGTTGACAAAAATGGCTTAACTCCTTTGCACTATGCTGCTCGTAAAGGCTGTTTAGATGTAGTAAGATATTTGGTAGATGAAAAAAAAGCTGATTTAACAGTTGCTAGTAAGAATGGTTGGACTCCTTTATATTATGCTGTTGTATGGGGCAAACTAGAAATACTAAAATATCTTCTAGATGAGAAAAATGATAATCTTACGGTTGTTGACAACAAAGGCAGGACCCTTTTACACCATGCTGCTGATAAAGGTTACTTGTATATAGCAAAATATGTAGTGGAGGAGAAAAAAGCCGATGTTACAGTTGTTGACAAAAATTGCTTGACTCCTTTGCACTATGCTGCTCGTAAAGGCTGTTTAGATATAGTAAGATATTTGGTAGATGAAAAAAAATCTGATTTAAAAGTTGCTAGTAAAAATGGTTGGACTCCTTTATATTATGCTGTGATATGTGGCAAACTAGAAATAGTAAAATATCTTCTAGATGAGAAAAATGATAATCTTACGGTTGTTGACAACAAAAGTAGGACTCTTTTACACCATGCTGCTTATAAAGGTTACTTAGATATAGCAAAATATCTAGTGGACGATAAAAAAGCCGATTTTACAGTTGTTGACAGAAATGGCTTCACTCCTTTGCACTATGCTGCTCGTGAAGGCTGTTTAGATATAGTAAGATATTTGGTAGACGAAAAAAAAGCTGATTTAACAGTTGCTAGTAAGAATGGTTGGACTCCTTTATATTGTGCTGTGATATGGGGCAAACTAGAAATAGTAAATTACTTTCTAGATGGAAAAAATGTTAATCTTATGGTTGTTGACAACGATGGCATGACTCTTGTACACTATGCTGCTGATGAAGGTTACTTAGATATAGCAAAATATCTAGTGGATGAGAAAAAAGCCGATTTTACAGTTGTTGACACAAATGGCTTGACTCCTTTGCACTATGCTGCTCGAAAAGGCTGTTTAGATATAGTAAGATATTTGGTAGACGAAAAAAAAGCTGATTTAACAGTTGCTAGTAAGAATGGTTGGACTCCTTTATATTATGCTGTGATATATGGCAAACTAGAATTAGTAAAATACTTTCTAGATGAGAAAAATGGTAATTTTACGGTTGTTGACGACGACAGTTTGACTATTTTACACTATGCTGCTTATAGAGACTACTTAGATATAGCAAAATATCTAGTAGATGAGAAAAAAGCCGATTTTACAATTGTTGACGAAAATGGCTTAACTCCTTTGCACTATGCTGCTCGTGAAGGCTGTTTAGATATAGTAAGATATTTGGTAGATGAAAAAAAAGCTGATTTAACAGTTGCTAGTAAGAATGGTTGGACTCCTTTATATTGTGCTGTTGTTTGGGGCAAACTAGAAATACTAAAATATTTTCTAGACGAGAAAAATGATAATCTTACGGTTTTTGACAACAAAGGCAGGACTCTTTTACACCATGCAGCTGATAAAGGTTACTTGGATATAGCAAAATATCTAGTGGAGGAGAAAAAAGCCGATTTTACAGTTGTTGACAGAAATGGTTTAACTCCTTTGTACTATGCTGCTCGTAAAGGCTGTTTAGATACAGTAAAATATGTGGTCGATAAAAAAGGTACTAAAAAAAATACTTCTCTATTTCAAGCTGTTGAAAAAGGTCATTTGGATATAGTAAAATACCTCATAGAAGAAAAAGGAGCTGATATTAACATTAAAGAAATAAAGGGTAGGGGTATTTTACATTTTGCTGTCCATAGTGGTAATTTGGATTTGGTAAAATATCTTATCGAAAAAAAAGATGCTAATATTAATACTAAGGATATAAATAATCACACTCCTCTATGTCAAGCTGTTGAAAGAGGTGATTTAGATGTAGCAAAATACCTCATAGAACAAAGAGAAGCTGATATTAACATTAAAGATAAAGGGGGTAGGACTATTTTACATCTTGCTGCCCACAGTGGTAATTTAGATATGGTAAAATATCTTATAGTCGAAAAATGTTTCGAACAACATATAAATACTAAAAGAATTGATAACGGTTGGACTACGCTACATGAAGCCTCTTCCAAAGGCCACCTGAAGATAGCAGAGTTTGTTATAAGCAAAGGAGCTGCATTAAATGCGAGTGATAGATATGACAACACTCCTTTACATAAAGCTGCTATGAAAGGATATGTGGATGTAGTAAAATTACTTGTAAGTAAAGGTGCTATCCTTAATCCAAAAAATTGTAATGGTTCTACACCTCTGCATTGCAGTACTATAGAAGGACATTTAGATGTGGTGAAGTTTCTTGTAGAAAGTGGAGCTAATTTCAATATTAAAGATGACTATAAAAATACTCCTATGGATTTAGCCCTTAAGCATCGTAGAAAAAGTATTATAGAATTTTTTAACAGTACACCCAGCGCTAGACTTGAAGGAGTATCTGTGCGTAGCAAAGTCGCCCCCTTACTTTTTTAGTTATAGTTTATAGGTTTTGGGTAACTGTAAAATTTAAAAATTGTAAAATTGTAACAGTTTGTCTATTAAATAAATTCCACTAAAGTTTTATCTATTTTATTAAAACCACACACAAAAATACATTGGTATTAACCAAAATAAATCATTTTACCATCCCGGATCCCGTGCCATTGCGGTGCTTGGCAGCGAGTGTTTAATAAAATGAGTGTATAGAAAAGTTTATAAACGCGTATACCTACGTATAGAGCGATATCTTTACAAAAATAAAGTTTATAGGTAATTCTCCCATAATTTCTGGTCAGCTACATAATTCAAAAAAAAATTAACAGCATTGGATAAAAAATAACTATTTGACAGCCTCGGGACATTCAAGTTAAAATTATGGGAGAATTACCCATATACAAAATTATGACATCTGTTCCAACCTCATTTTTTCCCAATTTTAAACCCGATTGGTTCTAGTTACAGTAAATATTAAAATCAGCCAATCACTAATGCTTGACAACGTGAATAACGAGCTTATTATTTCCGTTGCTATGCGGGGCGGTTATAATGGTTACCATTATAAAGAATTATAATTATTTACGGAAAAACACATGTGTTTTTACAAATAATGTCAATATCTAATATGCAATAGGAGTGGAAAGAAATAATAATAAACGGGCTTAAGTTTTGCAACAGTGGCTTAGAAATTTTAGAACACGGAGTTCAGTTAGCTTTAAGTTAAAATTGAGAAAAAGTGAGGTTAAAACCGTCTGACAGATGTCAGATTGTAAAAAGATAGGTTAAAATCGCCTGACAGATGTCATATATGAGATAAAATATCAAAAAAAAAAATGTGACCCCTATATGACGTTTATAGTTTTTATTATTTTGTACAACTTGCTAACTATGTGCACAGGCGCACTTAATATCTGACCGACTAGGGATTTTCATGAAATTTTGTTAGTAGTCTGGTTGCTATAGTTACGTAACCGTTGTGCTAGGGAATTTTTTTTTTTGTTTGTACCAGACCAAACAGATTAAGTAAATATTTTTTAGAAGTGTCAATTCAATTTTTTTTTAATGTCGTGTATACAAAAGAAAATAAAAATCAAATTAATACAAAAAAATATATTTTCCTTAAAATTTAACATTTTAATGCGTGGATTGTATATTTTTGGCATCGGTATGATAAATCAACTCTTCCTTGAAGTACATGTTCGGCATGTCGCGCCACATTTTCTCAAACTTGATGTACCGGTCGAAAGGATATGAAAGTGGGTAGTTGTCGACAAAATACGACCCACTGCCCACTCTGGGGTAGAAAAATTCACCCATGGGTTCATGTTTACCTTCGTACTCAACATACGGGTAAACGATGGTGAAAAATTGGAAGGGCATTCCTTCCTTTTTGCCCATTGGTAGCATATAGCGTTGCGGGAACTGGAAGTACTGTTGGGAGCCATCCAAGTGAAACTCTTCTTGATTTTTCAAAGCGTTGAAGACTTTTTTGTACAAGTCGTGATACGAGAGCCGATCCGGCCCATACAGGGTGTACTCAAACGAGTTCCTTTTAATATTGTTATCCCCTGATTTCAAATCGTAGACAAAATGATCGAACTCAACGAAGTTGAGCCTGTTTTCGCTGATGTTGATGTAGCGGCCATACTCATCGTACTTTGGACCCAAAAATATTTTTACCACCGCCTTGACATCCTTACTGGATTTAACATGTATGTTGTAGTTGAAGGCTTTGTGATTCAAACGGTATTGCCTAGCGTACACTCTAAAGTCGTCTTTTTGGTATTCTTCCGGTGTAACATACACGACGTTGCTGATATCGGAATCAAAGGTGTCGAAGTAGGTAACCAGACGATCAAAGTCAACCTTCTCGATCTTAACCCCATCAAACGCCAACTCACCTTCGGTGTACACAGGTTTATAAGCCAGATACCTCTGGAAATACAACACAATTTTTTTGTACAACTGGTAGAAAGCTGGATCCCGCATGGAGGTCTCAAAATGTTCCAAACTGGATGGTAAAAGTTGGTGTTTGTTTAAAGGTTGATAGGCGTAGCCTAGCAAATGCCTCGCGTAAAATTCCACTGATCCGTAGTAGTTTGAAAGTGGGGAATCAGCGTTGCCTTGGATGAGGTTTCCCAGGATGTTCAGGCCATCTTTTTTGAACATGTCGATTTTGTCGCCTTTTTCCTGAAAACAAAATCATCGTAAAATTATTGGTACACTGTTTAAAATATCTGTGGTGTAAAGAGTAATCTTAAAATGGTGTCAAAATCCAACACCAAGTGGTGTTAATATAACACCATGAATTATGGTTGAAAATGTTGTATACAGCAAACACCAAAACGGTGTTTATCTAAAAATATTTGAGAAGTGCACCTACACAGAAAAAAGGAATAGTTCATTTAACTATATTAATTTAGTTGACCCTTAAGTATTTATTTTTGTATTTTTTTATTTTTATCAACTGTGGGAAGGTTAATATAAACAAAGATTAGTCTGACGGTACTAAACCAGATAGTTATTTTTTTTTAAATTGGTTAAATTAACCCAGAAAACTTTAGTGAAACCAACCCGCTGTATGGTTCACTTTACTAAATATGTTGTTTGTAAAATAAGAGTTACTTCAACCTAAAGCACTCTGTTAAAACGATTAAAACAATTTGCCGTGCATTCCCGGTTGCATAGTGTGTACCGATCGCGGCAAAGGCGGTGTGGATCACGTGATGTTCCTAAATCTTAAGTTAGTGGAACGCACTAAAAACATTATCTCTAGCGAGTTGAAGGTTCCATTTTCTGGAATAATACCACTGGTAATATACTAGTAATGCGTCAAGGAACTTCCTGTTTCCTTTTTTTTTCCTTTTTTCTGTGTAGTATGATTTAATTTGACCACAAACACATAATATTTAACACTGAAAAGGAGTTCAATTTACACCAGGTAAAATTTATTTTAATACTGTGTGAAAGTTAAATTAACACTATTTTAGTATTTGAATTTACACCGGACCAACGAACCATATTTAACACCATTTTGGTTTGTACCGATATAGACCATGTATGGTGTTAATTTGGTGTTAAAATGGTCATGAAATTTTGAAAAGTGTAAACAGCTAAAAGGCACTTACGTTGATTGCAAAACCGCTATCCATGGCATCGTGTAATCGTTGCTCGTACTCATTTATAAGAGTGTAGCCATAACTTTGCTTTCCCTTCCAGGACCAAGTTTGGCCGTAGTTGTAAAAATATTCTTCCAATCTTGCGAATTTAGGTCTCGATGGGAACTCCAAACCGTTTTGATATCTCAGTGAAGGTTCGTAGGGGGTTTCGAATGGCACTTGCCAGTTGAAGTTTTGAATTTCACCGAAATCGTTTGAAAGTCTTTCCAGGTAGAATCTAGCTAATATTTGTTGATAGAAGTAGTAGTACAATTCACCGCGTTTGTCGTTTTGGATTTTATATTCTTCCGATGGCATCCAGAAGGGGTAGAAGAGGTTGAAATAGTAGTAAAAATTGTTGATACCAACATCTTCCATAAAGTAAGACATGGATTGTTCCGGATGTAAGTTCAAATATTCTCCTGAGTAATTAGACTTAATAATATGATACCCTTTCTGTGTTTTAACCCCATCCCACATTTGCTTGTGTTTTTGAGCCTCGTTTATAACCACACCATCGAAAAAGTAGTTCGGATATATCTCGTAGATAGGTGGTATGATAATCCCATAGGTATCCGGTCTGTGGACTATAGCTACAGAAACAGTGTACAAAAATAGGCCTTCGTTGATATTTTGACGGCACCATACTGCAAAATTGTAGAACGTTTTAAAATCCTTGGCGTGGTAGAACATCCTGAAAAGCATCTTCACTTGCTGAAGATGGGCATAATTGAACACAGAAAAAATTTCTCCCCTCGGTAAAAGTTCTTCGTACTTATAGTACTCCCAAAATTGTTTAAATACATCCGGAGACTAAAAATTAAGACATTGCATGATGTTTTTTATTTCACTTAGGTATACTTACACCAAATTCATTTTCATACTCATCCCACTTCCATTTCTGAAGTATTTCTGTATGTTCCTTGAAATACGTTGGCTGATTCACGTATTTAAACAACAACAAGACATCTTTTTGATGTTCCAAGTACTTTTTGTCAGCTAAAATACCAACAAAATGTATTTTTGATCAGAAATAGTAATCAATACTTACCGACTTTATAGTGCTCAGTCTTCTGGGTAAACCCAAATGCACAAAGGCTTAAAAATAATGTTACCACAAAATACGTCATGTTTGCAGACCCGCAAAACATGCAAGTATAAACTATTTTTACTATGTGATGCTTTATATTAAGTATAAAGGTCAATTTCTTGACTTCTATAATCTAAATTATATGTTTTTAATAGCTGTGATAACGCTCTTTAGCGCCAATATAGTGTTTTTCCTATCTCATCAAAATAAAACAACAGTTTATGGTTAAATGTTCTGCAGATTTTTTGACGGCCTTTTATATATCGTAGGAATCGATGAAAAATCTGGATTCGTTTGATTGAGGCTCTGAATGTTCTTTTGTTGTATTCTTCCTTTATGTGGTAACAGCATTACCGACTACGGCTTTAAAATAATCGCAGTATGTTTCCAAGCGGTTGAAGTTCACTTTTTCAATTTTGACACCATTGAATGTTAACTCTTCCTTGGTGTAACTTGGCAGATAACTCTTGTATCTCTGGAAAAACAATAGAATTCTTTTGTACAGTTGGTAGAAGGCTGGGTCTCTCAACGAGGTTTCGTAGTGTTCCAATGCAGAGGGCACCAATTTGTTATCTTCCAGAGGTTGCTCTGAATATCCTAATAGATGCCTTGAAAACGCTTCATAATGTCCATAGAACTGCGGAAAAGCAAATTCGTGGTTATAATTGGCTATTAAGGCTCCTAAAGTATTGAAGGCCTTGGTAGAGTACTTATCCTTATCGTTGCTGATGAAGTATTTATCACCATTT